TACCCACATGGGGTATTGGGCAAAAAAACCTATGAACAGAGCTTTGGGCAAGAGATTGAAAAACAAGAAAAAAGAGTTGGCTTTAATATTTCCTGGACCATCTGGGTCAAATACTCAAACTCTAGAATTATCTCATAGACAAAGTTACATGCAGGAGGCTCAGGACACCTATAGAGTTGACTTATCTTTGGGCGTCAACAGTTAAAGGCTTTGGAGGAGTGTAAGGGGGTTTGAATGTATGTGTTCCAGAATTTCTTTCGAGTTGCTTTTGTTGTTGATGCAAGCTACCGAGCCTTGAGCCATTTTTATTGAATCGGCTGTGGGCATGTAGAAATGGGAAAATGGTCTTATCCCCTTCCATCGGTGCTGCTGGCAGGCTTATTTTAAGGATCTCCGATTATTTAAAGACATTACAATCGGACCTTTTGTAAATTCAAATGATCCTTTTTCACTGAATTTAAATAATTGAACATTCACTTTTTTCTATCATTCTCAAATTTTAAGCGATATTTTTTTTAGGGTTTCACTTGGTACGACACCCCTCCATTTTAAAATCATTGGGAAAGATTTTCTTATACCTTAAGACAATCATTTTGCAACAATTCTAAAATGAAAATGTATTACCCTTAGTCCAATTATTCAATCGAATCAAGTGATGCTTATGAGAGCATCATAGATATCAATTTAAAGAATGTCTAGACCAATATGTACAAACAAAACAAAAATAATAAAACAAAGATGCATAAAAAAGTGATTTCGAAGTTTAATTAACGCATCTATAATATGGAATTAAACTAGAAGTAATCTAAACTACAAAACTAGATTCTAAACATCAAATTAAGGACTGAAATATAAACAAATAGAATACAAAGTTCAAATTAAAAACTAAAGAAAAATTAAAGTGCTGGAATTTGCTGGAATTTAAAAGACCGAAATGTAAATATTAAAATTTAAATACAGAAAATAAAAAGAAAAGAAAAGAAGGGGCATAAACATAAATAACAGAAATTAAAGATCATATAAAAGACAAAGGGCTAGTGGTTAATTTTTAATTTTTATCCAAACTATAATAACACGATTCGTACCCTAGAATGGGTCATTGCGAGAATGTAAAATTAATTTGAAACATTTTACAAGTTAACGTTTAGAAATTAAATAGATTATCCTTACAATAACAATGCGAATTGTACCCCGGATCAAGTCCTCACAAGGTCGTAAAATTAAATTGAATAACATTTTTTTAAATCAAGTTAATACTTAGAGATTAATAATTAAAATTTAACCTGGGGCATAATAATAAAGGTCGTACCCTAAGACGGATCACTGCAAGGCCGAATGAATAATTAATGCAATAATTTTATAAACATGGACTAAAACACATTGAATTAAAATACAATAACTAATTTGAAATAAATAATAAAAAATAAAAATAATCACTGTGACCAAATTTAAAAAAATAATGTAAAAATTAAAAAAAAAAGAAAAAGAAAAAAGGACGGATTGAAATATAAAAACACAAATGGAAAACATGTTGAAATCTTAGTATGTATATGGGCTTTGTGGTACACTCATAACAAGAGACTGCATGAAGGGAAACCAATAAACAGAGACGAACTCATCACCATCAAACAAAGCCAGTGAGACTTTACCTTGGTTAATACTAGACTACAGAGCCCTCGACAAACCACTGAAATAAGGACTCCTTCTTCACCTAACGTAGTGAAGGTGAGCTACGATTTATGTTTCAAACAAACCGAAAATGAATCATGGTCAGGGATTATTTTCAGAAACAATGAAGGATTCGACCCGGCGTGTTTCATTGGCTTGTGCTACTGAAGCAGTGACAGCAAATCATGTCCTCCAATTGGTAGTCGAATTGTGTTTCAATAGAATCATTCGGGAAGCGAAGCATCGAGCAAAACATTTTGTTGCATGTGAGTATAGCTTTACCCCACATTCTTGCCACAAATTCGACCTTGGGAGATGAGGATGCGTACTGGGTGGAGAAGATACCTGATCGAGCGGCAAGGCAGGCGACGAAAGATAGATGATGGCTTGATCCAACCTGATTGCAAATCAGAGGATCAAATACAGAGTAAGAAGGTTATGTTATTTCTTTGCTTTATTCAATCTCCTTGCGAAGACTTCACAGAATCATCTCAGTTAGAGATGTGAGAAGAACAACAACTGAAATTAGGGAATTGAGTTTCTTTTTTCAGTTAAATTTTGCTTAAGGTTTTTGTATTTTATTTTTGACCTTTTAGTGCCTTTTTGGAGAATAGCTGGCAACTGTAGTTTTATATTTGGCAATAAATTAATCCAGTGTTTGCATTAAAAATGTTTAAATCTGGTTAAAAGTAATACTTTAACAATTTTTCTTTAAACAAAACGGCGTCCTTTTATTGCGACAATCATCACGCACACCGTTGTATCTTAGAAAGAATATTTTGCCTTATCCACCCAAGCAATGAACGGATAGACAATTCCCATACACACGCCTGTATCTAAGCCTTGGCATGAGGGGCACCTATCCAAGGTGTCTAATAAAAAAGTTAAAATTGAGTTTTTATTTTCTCATTTTAAGTTATAACAAATTAATGCTTAGACTTAAATTTTTTGCTTGAGCATTGGTTCTGATCATTCATTTATAAAACAGCACAAAAGCCAAGAATTATGACTGTACAAGTAACCCAAAAATATAATTTCTTTTTTTTGATTAAGTGTGGTATTATATATTAATAAAAAATAAAGGATGACCTACCATAATGAAATGGAGCAAATGGTCGAAAGAAACAAAAGACAAAAGATATCCAAAAGTAAACTTTTTAAAAGTGAATATTAATTTAATTTATGTTTTATTAAAGAAAAACTATTATTAGTGGTTATTGTCTTAGTTTTCCCATCCTACTTTTTATTGTAACCAATATATCATATTTATGTCCAATGGTTATTTTCTCTTTTGGCTCTTGTATTGTGTCTATGTTGTTTATATTACACTATAGAAAAACATGTATTTAGTGGCGTTTTTTTAATCCTATAACTGTATTTTTAAGCATCGCTAAAAATCCTCTTGACGCTAATAAAAGCATCACAAGAAGCGTCGGTATATCAAACATCACAATAGTCTGCGGCGTTTGTGAGCATAAAACGTCACGAAAGTTCAAAGACATATAGCGGCATTTTGAAAAGAAATGTCCCTAATTACCTTGTCTTTAGTGGTGTTTATTCCCTAAATGTTGCAATATATTAAGATATGTAGTCACATTTTTGTCCACAAATGCTGCTATTGACAATATGTAGTTGCATTTTTCTTGACAAACGCTACAAATGTATATTTCATTAGTGACGTTTTTATTTCAAAACGAAGCAAGAGCATGACTTACATTTTCTTTTATAAGCGCCACCTCCATTATCATTCATGTTTTTTTGATGATCATATCAAAATCTTCATTTTAGTCTCATTGTTTGCCACCATACAACCTAATCGGCATATCAGGAGAATATTAGTTATTTAACAACAAACAAATTGTACTAATGCAAAAGAAAATGGAGATTGAAAATCGAAAGGGTTCATATTTAGTATCAATTAACACTACTAGAAAAACCCCCTTTAATGACGCTCATTGCGCGTCATCTATGGGTGCAGATGACACACAAATGCCCGTCGTTGAAGCCACCGACATAAATCTAAGATGACACGTAATTGTGTGTCATAAATCTATGACGCGCATTTATGACACTCATTTATGATACACATTTATGATGCTAATTTATGACGTTCATTGAGCGTCATTGAAACCCCCGTCATAAATGAAGATGACACACATTTGTGTGTCATAAATTTATGACACGCATGTATGACTTACATTGCGTGTCATTGAAGCAGACGTCATTAAAAAAAAGATGACACACATTCATGTGTCGTGATTGTATTTCGTAAATTATATATATATATATATATTGTAGATTGACAAATAATCAAACTAAATCACATTTAATGCCTCATAATACTATATATATATATATATCATATTATATATAAGCAATCCATTTGCATACAATATATTAACATTAAGTTATCAAAAATATTGTAATCATATGTCGATACAAAATATCAAGGCATAATAAAGTTTGCCACATAAGATACCCATTCTTTGCGAATATCATCAATGTCATCATTCATATTCTTCCTTCCCATCGCCAACCTAAGTAAAAAATATGAAATAAGTATATAATTTATACTTTTTTAAAGTGAAGTATATAACTATCAAAAGAGTACTAAAATGACCAATTTTACATATGCATTCTTTAAAGCTAGAGAAATAAAGTGCATGTGTTCACTGAAGCTCACCAGGAAGAAGTACAGTATGTGGAGAGAAACAGGCTTGATCTTGCAGTACAAAAAAGACCTTTAGCCAATATTGGGAAAGGCCTACATCAAGTAAAGAATATTAAGTCTAAATAAAAACGCTTTGTAATATAAATAACTTGTAGGTCTTATAAAGACAATTACATGACAATCAAAAGAATATAAAACAAAAGCCCTGATAATTGTGTTCTTTTTCCACGTATAGTTATGGTAATTACTTATAATGACTTTAGAAGAAAGAAGAATAAAGGTGCGGATAAATGATCATCGGAATTCAGAAAGATCCTAAAATTTATACTTTCATCTTCACTTGCAGTGGTTAGTTGGAGTCAGTTCGAATGTGGTCAGGTGGTGAAAATGGAAATTTGGTTGATGGGTTCACAAATTGACTAGTTTGACATAGAAATCATTTCGTTAAAATGAACAAAAGCATTTCGTTAAAAGTCCAAACTTAATAAAAAGAAAGTCTGGTTTTGCCAGTTTTAACTAGTTTTTCAGGCTCTTGGTTTATAGCTTTTATTGCCTCTTAATTTTTTATTCAACTTATACGGTTGAATCGCTAGACCAACTAGGTCTTGATTGAATTAGATGATCTGGTCAGGCTTGTACTACCTAAATGCTTTAATCATTTTTATGCAAATAGTGATGAAATGGCAACAAATTCAGTCTTATAAACTCTGAACATACCTGCTAGTAGTGCACAATGTAGTCCTGCAGGATATAAGAAGTAATTGATATGATTTTTAGTAAAGATTTCCTAAATGAATCCCCAAGTTATAGAGAATAAAAAAACAGAGGAAGGAAAATCACCATAGCTGAGAGCTGCATGTCCGGGAACTAACCTGCAAGAATGCATATATCATTATTATATTGATTTTTGAATTAAACTATATACAAGTACACTGAAACCAATAGTTCTGGCCCAAGAATTGCAAATCTTAAGTTATTTTGATACATCCTGGTGGCTCGGTCTAAGCTGCATATTAGCACAAGCTATAACGATCTTTGGAAATAATTAAGATCAAACAAACACTAGGAAGAAATTTATAAGGTTCCTAGGCTACCATCACCTTTCAGGCATAACAGAGCTATGATGCACTGACACTCTTTGACATGGAGTATCCAAATATTGGACACATATATAGCTATGATATTGAAAAATATGTATTGAACACACAAGGACATATCAAAAGAACAAAATAAAAGTATCAATTTTTCATTTTTAAAAATCAATTTTAAATATTTTAAAAATCAATTAAAACTAATAAGTATCAATTTTTCATTTTTATTGTATATTGCTATATAAAGAATTTTTTTAAAGCTGTGTCCCGCCATACTCCTAATTTTTTGAAAATCCTAGTATGATTGTGTCCATGATGCACCCCCTATTGTGTATCTTTGTCTGTGTATCCGAGATGAATGCTATGAAGTTATAGTCATCATTGGAAGATTTTAACACGTTACTGTGATGCCAAAAACTTTGGATGTAAATGCAACAGAACTGTACCGGTATAGAAAGATAATGTCTTCAACATTTGTAGAGTTCTCCTGTGGCCGTAGCATGCTCATGGTGTAAAAGTTTATTTTCTCAGACTGAAAATGGTTGTAGAAGTAGAAGAGTGTAAGAACAATAAGTTAAAAGGTTAATGAGTGTATGCGTGTGCTTGTGTTTTCCCCTATTCCTCTCTAGATGAACATGCCATTAATTGTGAGAATACAGTAATGTGTACCTTTGGTAAGCAACTTTTATTAAATAACTCGGTCAAGTGAGTGCACACCAGAACCTGCAAAATACAAATACCACATGCCCCCAATAGTTTATTGATAACTATTATAGTAAACACACAGCCAATCATTCAATAAGTTACTCAATTTCGCTTAAATTATTTCATAACTTCATATAACCACCATAAATATTATGTTTTAATTAAATCAGTAGCCAAACAACAAATATGCCTCCCTGAGCTTGGAAATGAACAGTGGTGAATGCTAAAGCCAAGTAATTAAACAAGCTGAGCAAAAGACTGTGGAGTTTTAATACTTAGCTCCAGATGAGAGTAAACCTCTGTTACCAAGGGTTAATTTCGATATGGATTTCGCTATGAACATATTACTTTTCCAAGTTTTTCCATATTTTCAATATCAAACCTCAAATCAGAATATCAAAACATATGTCTGAGATGGAATAAGTGGGGGTAAACAACATCATAGAAAAACACGATTCTGCAGTATAAATCAGTATCCCTAATCACAACATGCCATTTCATGAACCTAGAGACATTGAGTTATCATAATCATTATAATCAAGTATACCTTAGCTCATTCCCACTTGATGTAGATCTATCATAAAAGTGGACTGTTCTACTGTCATAAGCTTGCCTCCCATCGCACAGAATATCCTGTGAAAATGGGAAACACGATTGACTAACATACCAAATAAAATACTAACAGAGATACATAACTTTAAGAATGAATTTATCAACAGGAAGAAGTTACCTACCAGTATAGAGTTGTTATTTCTTATTATAGAAAAAATGATGTCACTTTTAATAATAATTCTCTTGATAGTTTTTTAAGAAATAATTGTAAAATTGTAAGTAGATGGTTTATTCCTTCCATTTTGTATATCAAGAATGATCTCCATGGTTAAAGTAGGCCTCACATAATTGTTGTGGCGAGCAACCATTGCCAATGACAACAGGCTAACATCAATATGAAGATATTATTGTTAGTAACATAGCTACTTCAGACACGTTTATGTTTAGAGAATAGAGAAAAATAGAGATAAAGAGAACCTTTTATGATTCTTACCAATCAAGTTCAGACACAAAGTTCATAGCCTTGTGTAAATGTGTTGAGAACGTTAATACGTGAGAGACCAAGTCTCTGATAATTGCCCTCTCCATATCTTCGTTAATGAGTTTAAGAATTAATGTTACAAAGAAATTCACTAAAATTACATTACCCTGTTAACTAAAATGACATTTCAATTGATACGAGCAGCATGGGCTGGTATTCAACTTGTTGAGATGGGCTACTCGATGAAACTTGTAAATATTTTTTTGATAAATGAAACTTGTAAATATATAACACAACTGGACTTAACAACTTAGAAATGAATTACAAAGCATACCTAGAACTTTAAGATAAATGTCTCCGAGAAGGTTATCTAATTATTGTGTCTTTGGAGTACGATAAAAGAATCTTTTTGTTTCTCCATCAGCATCAGAGAACTGAGTTTCTATATCATATTCTCCAATAGATGCAATAAAAGTGGGAATAACAATCACAACTATTTAAATATGATGAAAATATCAACTTAACTAGCCTTGAAAATGTAACATTAGACAATTACTAATTTAGCTAGCCATCTGATGCATGCATCAACTTACTGCAAATTCAAGATCTTCAATTCTCGCATGTGCAATATCATCAGGGTTCTCTTCAAAAAAACACATCAAGTATCCAACGACAAACAAACAAAAATTATCATGCTAAATGTTAATTAAAATGTACTTGCAGTAGAGTAAGATTATGTTTAGCATCACAGGAATTGATTTGACACATGGATATGCGAAGAGACACAGACCCACCTATTTGATGAATATATACAATACAAGTGGTAAACTTCTCTTTGCATAAATGAGGAACTTGTTGAAGCTCTAACAATGAAACCTGTGAGGATGCTAATTTATGTTAATATACTTGTAGGAACCACAAATGGTATTTTTGAATTCATAATATAAATGCTTTATACACTAACAAGCGCCTCTTCTAGAAATTCTTGCAATTCTTTGTTTATTTGTCTCATCTCATCCAACTGCGCACAGATGGAAATAACACTAATGTGAGATATTGTCTTAAAAAAGGAGAAAAACATTCCTACAAAAAACATGCTATCATCATCATAGAAAAATCAGAACTAATGCCTAACCTCGTCACATAAACCCTCTTTCCCTTCTCTTTACTTCTGCATCTATAACACCAATAACTGTGGAAACCCAAATTGAATGGTGGAATAGAGAACGAGGAATACATGTGGAAACCCTTGAATATTGACTCCCTTCGTCTACGTTGTGGTGAATGGCAAAACCAGTAGATTGATCGAGAGGCCCTGTGAGAGTGCAGATTTGGCTGTGCTAATTGAAATGAAAAGAGAAAAAATGGGGAAGCATGCCAGGAAGAAGTGGGAAATGATGAAAATAATGGGGGGGAAAATAAAATACGACTTTTACAGATGACACACAATTAAAATTGTACTCCATGTTTTTGCAAATTTTTTGGATTATGACTATTAAATATGACACACATTATTGTAAGTCATATATCGTTCAGATTTTGAAAAACATGACATTTTTTTATGACACATTTTTTGCAAGTCATAAATTAGCATGTGTCATCGTTCGTGTGTCATTAAAGGCATATTTTCTTGTAGTGGAACTTTCACATAAAAGCAAGAACATGTATGGAGATACATGTTCTTGTTAAACAAGAGTAAAATCATGGTATTTTTCCTTTTTCATTTATAAATAAGGCATTGCATTAATAATAATAAAGACAAATCCCATATAAACCTATACGCTTACAAACTGTACAGGACTACAAACCAAAGGAGGTAAGTGGTTAGGCTCTAGAATTTAAGATATGAGTCTGAATGTATATCATTTAAAATTTTACTAATGTAACTAAATATGTATATTAAAGAACTAAAACTTGTAGGTTATTCACTTCCATACCTTAATAGCCTCATATCTACTGCTTGATATCAAGAGTCCTTGGTTCAATTTCATAGAAGCCAAAGAGATGACAGAATCACGGTGGCTTACAAAATCAATAACAGCATCGACAACAACTGCTTTTGCTCAACTTTGTTGTTAGATATATTAAAAGTATGAGACACCAAAGCAACAGTGACAGAAGGCAATTTTACATTCTAGAAAAAAGTTATTTGGGAGAATACAAAAAACCATGATAGAAGATGTGTGATTCAGAAATGACATGGCTGACAATTTTAGCTTAGTGATTCAACTAAATTTCATTAACATTAACCAATTTACTCTCTATGACCTTACCGTCTAAAGAACAAGTTAACAAACAAAGAAACAGTTGAAACACGAACATTTAAGGGAAGGGAAGGAAACATCATGTACCTCATAAATATTAAGTTCTAAATGTAACACCCATTTCCCATTTATTTTTCCGTACACGAGTCACAGATGTCACATGACTTTTTAAACATTCTTTATACCTGAAAATTAGTAAATTTTTTTGTTTTCTTTAAATAAAACCATTTAATAATATATTAAACACGTCTACTCCGATTAGCAATACTAGTTTATGTTATCCATATTTAAAATCAATATAAAACGATCCATTTAATCTATTACAAACTAGTTCCAAAATATTTAAATAGAGCTAATAGGACATTCATAAGTACATGCAACAAAACCAAGTAAAAAATTTCATCATAGGATGTCTTACTGATATTGTAGTATATTCCTTGATGCTTGGAGTTGCTCGGTACTCTTTACTTATAATCTCGAATTTTACCTACGCATGAAACCAACACATGCTAAGTATTTACTTAGTGAGGCATAGTAATACAAAATGAATTATACTTAAATATAAGCATATCCCAAATTATCAAAATATAAATGAAAATTGTATAATTCATATCAATACATCAAATAGGCTTGGGCGAATCAATCTTCAATCAAATAACATGATAACTATATTTAGTATGTCCATCATACCTATCAATCAATATTTTCTAATTTATCCTTTATTTGGCCAATATATGTTAAATGAAAATGCATGGTACTTGAGTTGCACCTAAATGTCGTAATTAAAAAATAAGTATATCATAACTATCCAAATACAAGTTTAACTATTTTCATAACATTATGAAATATGTGGTTTGTACACTTAGTGCCGATACGGTAATTCACAAACTCATTATGAATTACGTGGGGTTGCACAAACAATGCTAATACCGAAATTCATAAACTTATTATGAATTTCTTAAGTTGCACACATAGTGCCAATACAGAAACTCATAAACTTATTATGAATTTCTTATGTTGCATACACAGTGGCAATACAAAAACTCATAAACTTATTATGAATTTCTTAAGTTGCACACACAGTGTCAATACGGAAATTCATAAACTTATTATGAATTTCTTAAGTTGCACACACACTGCCAATACGGAAATTCATAAACTTATTATGAATTTCTTAAGTTGCACACACAGTGCCAATACAGAAATTCATAAACTTATTATGAATTTCTTAAGTTGCACACACAGTGCCAATACGAAAATTCATAAACTTATTAGGAATTTCTTAAGTTACACACACAGTGCCAATACGGAAATTCATAAACTTATTATGAATTTCTTAAGTTACACTAATAGTGCCAATACAGAAATTCATAAACTTATTATGAATTTCTTAAGTTGCAAACATAGTGCCTATTTGGTAAATGAAATACATACATTAAGCAAAAAGCATCTATGACTATCATAACATCTAAGCACATGATAAATACACTCACCTGGTTTGCCTTACAACAATGCTCAAATGTAGTCTGACTATTCCGCGACATTATTCTTTCCTTTCTGATTGCTTGACTTAGGAGCTTGATTACGATCTACACAAGCATCCATTAAGTACACATACCATACCAATGTTAGTATACTTCTCTAACATTTATATTTTTAATAATACTTAAAAGTATTAATATATTCAATTTCTATCAAAATTGATCATATCTTAAAGTTTCCAGACTCAATAATATTGGTACCCCTGTCATGGTATCGATACGTATATATTATGGTATCGATAGTTCCTTTCAGTATCGATACCATTTATGCATTCTGTAATCCATGGTATCGATACCTTCCTTTTAGTATCGATACCAAAATCAGCATCGATACTAATTGCATCAGTATCAATACTGTTCATCATAATTCCTTAAATTTAAACCTATAGTATCAGTACTTTTCTTCCAGTACCGATACCCTTATCCAGATTTTCCATTTTTCATCTCGATTTTTACCCAAATCTCGTTTAAATCTCTTACTTTTACCTCAAATAATACCCTTAAACTTAACATCACTTAACCCAACTAACTTTCCTCCATTTAGTTCTTATAACACCCAAATTCTCTAAAGAACACTCCAAACCAAGAATCATACTGTTTTTTCTAACATGTTTTTAATCACCTCCAAGGCTTCTAATATCTTATTTACTTATTTGACAAGTCAAATATACTTATAAATATCAATAAAAACTCATATTTCATCATATCACTCAAAAACCAATGTTCTTTAATATCAAATAATTCACTAATCCCTTAGTTTTAATCATCCTTGAACTTTCCTTAAGCCTCTATATCACTTAAGGTTTCTAAACTTGCCCATAAACTGAAGAATAAACTAACTCAAAGAAAATTTACCTTGGCTATTGGGAGAGCACGGTCATGGGGGAGAAGTAGAAGAGAAAACAGATAGCTAGCCTCTTTAACTTTCCCCTTTTCTCACTTAAATCCCTAATAAAAATAATATTTTAAATTCATGTCCCTCTAAAGAACCAAAATGTCCTTTTATTGTTCCATTCCTTACTAATTAGTCTTAAACACAGTTTCCTAAATCATTCATTAAACTTTTCAATTTACTCAATTAAGCCTAACAAATTTTAAATTATTTCACTATGATCACTGACCCTATTTTTGGGATATTACAATTCTCCCCTTAAGAAAATTCGTCCTCGAATTTTAAGAAATGTATGATACGAAGAGGTGTAGAGATTGTTTCCTCATGTCCTCCTCTCTTTCCCAAGTAGCTTCTTATTCTACCTTATGTTCCAAAGTACTTTAAGGAGAGGAATCTTATTGTTAGACAAT